ACAATCTTATACAGAAGATTTTAAATTTTATTGTAAATAATTTCCTCGGGAGATGAATTTATATAAGCCCTGGCTTGCTTTCAGATCCCACAATCATATAGTGTACTTTTATAATATGTAAATATTTATATAATAAATTGTGTCAGAACAAAAAAAAAACATATCACATTAAACCAAAGGTACATTTATCACTATTACAATATATGTACATGTATGGTATTAAAAAAATAATGTGTGTAGGGGAGGCCACATAACGGGGATTGGACAGCAGGGTTATATTTTTCTGTCAAGTTGGGTACTAACTCAAAATCAACATTCCCGAAACGGATTTATAAATCAAACAAAACAAATATTTAGCTGTGATAAATTAATAACAAAGAGCAAATTGTATGTATTTATATGTATGCACACTAAACACTAAAAACAATCACAAATAATGCAGGTGGGAAGTGATAAAACAATAGCATTTGAGCAATCAAAGCATTAATCCATACTGTAATAACGGAATGTGTATTCAAAAACATGGTTTCATATAGTACCCAGACAGGTGGCCACAGGTGGGAATTAATGAAACAATAGCATTCGACCAATCAAATAATTAATCTTTACTGTCACAGCGGACATATATGACTTTGTGTTGTACGTGTATTTTCAAAATAACCATCGGATGACTAAAAAGTGAATCGCTCACAATGGCGTGTATACACAGACCCTTTCTGTAATTAATGTGTATGGGGACATAGATTCAGAGGTGATTAATGACTAATATGATAATCGTAGTTAAAAGACGAATCTCAATACCTTTTTTACTGTGCATATATATAAATATCTAATAATTATTTAATCCCTGTTTTAACTAATCACAATGTAAAATATTGCACCATATATACACAACATGTTATTGTCTGCGATATCGCCTCGGTGGAAGCGGGTGGTAAATAAAGCGATCTCAAACACTTAAATATATCCGATTCGTCGGTTCGCGAGAAGTGCAACGAAATTATCATGGCAGAACTTGTAATGTTTTTAGGCTCATGCAGGTGGGTCACAGAATTGCCCTGTGATATGAGATCAAAGAATACATTTGCACGTAGCTGATTTTTCGAGACGTGTTGTATTCAATTGTTAAGACTACGTGGTGCCTTAAATAAACCAACATTACCAACTTCTAACAGGTTCCATTGATTTATCATTTATTTTATGACAGTTTAGACCACAATGTGTTACGATTTGCATTATGGTATTCTAAGCTGATTCTTATACGGAATTCGAGGTGCAATGATATAAATTCGGATTTGAGTGGACAAGTTAACACAATCATACATGTATGTGACCGTAAGCTTATTCTCGGTCTTTTTCATTTTGATTTTAATATTTTATCAAGAAAAACATACATGTAACAACTTTTGGTCAGGTATCACAGCTGATTACATGTCATTTGGGACTCACGTCATTTGGGACTCGCGTCATTTGGGACTCAAAAAAATATGACCACGACATTTGGGACTCGGGTATACAACGTTTGGGACTTTGAATTTTATTTCAATAATTCGCTTGCGCATAGGGGTCTTTAGCAGTTGGAGGAAACCGGACCATTATTTATAAAACTGTCCATTATTTATTGAAAATAATGGACAGTTTTATAAATAATAGACGATTGTTTAAGAAAAGCGTACATTCTCCTATATACTGGTTAAAAACATCAAAGGGTGACGTCATATCTATGTTTTAATGAATATTAAAATATAGATTTGAAATTTAAAACAGAATTATAAAATAACATATGACCTAGACATCGGTCATATATCCCCCTTACTTCAAAGAAAAACATGACCCCATGTTTAAAGCATTAATAAAATCAAAATCCTTATTTTTCGATTAATTAAAGTAACATAATCTATCACTATTTTCATGATAATAATTTCTATTTCTGTACATAGGATTCCTGTAAGGCCTAAAATGATGTTCTTGCAAATTGTACTGGTTAACGTTTTCATTAGGTAAACGTAATCTGGGTCATTGTATTCTATTTGAATTCGCATTCATGTATTGTTGAGCACTATAATCTAGTTCCTCCTCCAGAACCCAAAGTTCCTGGACAATTCTTCCACTGAATGAGATATTCTTGTATTGTGTTCTGAACTCTTTGTCTAAGCACTTTGTCGGACACTTGTACAGGTGGATTTGTTGAACAAATTCCTACATGTCGATGGTCTTGACTGCTGGTACTTTTGGCACTAGAACTTGAAACATCTTTCATCGCTGCCTCACTGTCAAAATTTATTTGACAACCTTTATCATGGCCCCATTTAAAGCGGAAATTGCAAATATTTAAGTTATATTTTTAAAATTTATTAAAATAAAGCCTGAAAATAGATGGTATCCATAAACAGTCCTACTTTGTTAAAGAATAATCCTATTAATCCTATAATTCACTATTGCCAGCTGAGAAATTGGCAAAAATATCATTTTCCTCTTTATTTTCAAATGTTTGATAAAAGCTACTCCATGGTGGGGAATAGAAAACAAGGGAGGTAATTGTGTTATTATTTCCTGTGTAAATGAGTTTTAAGTGTGAGAATGACACCTATGATCGTATAATTGTGAGTTGACAACCTAATGAGCAAAAGACATAGAAATAATTACGTTTTGACTTTCTTAGAAAATTTGCAATTTCCGCTTTAAAGCTGATTTCTGGTAGTTGATTCAGATTTCTTATTGCTGCTACTGCTGCTGAAGGAAGAATAATGTTGATATCCATCCCTTCTTCCAAATATGTTTACAATTTATCTCGCTTAGCTGTACCGGAATCAAGAGTAGACAATTTTGTTTACTCTTCCCGGCGTCTCACCAATGGTTCGGGGCTATTCTTGGTTCGAATATGCACTTCTTCCCGGCTACAATGTTTTGAGAGGGATTTGAAGCAAATTTTTAATAGATTAATTGGCTTGAATATGTTTTTAGCCCAAATATATCATCACATCATACAGTTTCTACATGGGAAGGCATCACTAACATAAACATTTACATTTTCAAGATTATTACGTGAAATGAAATTCCCGTTTATGGAATATTTGTTTATGACACATTGATATCAAATCTCGTAACGACAATTCATCAATCTAAATGTTAAAAAAGATTTTCATAACAAGAAGAGCTTGCCTATAATATATGTTTATTCGACATACTACTTGTATGAAATACACTGTTTAAGTTAAGCAAACTGTTAATAACCAAACCCAGTCTTTCATATTGAGTTCTTTTGTACAATTTGGAAAATGGCAGATCACTAACTATATTTCACAAACTAATGTCTAGGTCCCACTGGGGAAAAATCATTGGCGATATGGAGATAAACAACTTTTCTCCCGATGGCTCCCTATGTTTTTGTCCAAAGAAACGGAGTAGTCCCACCAGGGTGGTCCGGTGAATGTGCACTGATGCTTTGACTATGGTCACAAAATTTCTGTCAACCACTCCCTCAGTCAAGCTAGCATACAATAGCCGTCACACAAGCTGTCGCGTTGCCAGTTAGTGATACCCTGACATTTTTGTCCAGTGCTTGCCCCATGGGTGTTTTTGGGGGGTATTCCAGTATTTTTCTAGTCAGAATGGGCGTCTATACTTTCCATATACTGTAGAATCTGTACGAGCAGCCACTCCTATTCAGCGACATCTCCTTGTAAGCAGTCACAATAAATTCCCCCCATAGAAATTCTATTGTTTGTATTATCTCTTTAATCAACAGTCACTCCTTTAACGCGATCACGGTCACTATTTTACTAATAAATTTAGCAAAATAGCAATTATTCAATGGCCATTGTTGAATGATACCATTGTGTCGTACTTTGTAGCCGCTAATCCCCTGATTAATAGTTAATTATCTGCCCCTCCCCCCCTTACCGACAAAGTAAAAGAATGGTGCTAATGCACTTTTGCACACCTAGTATCTGCCTTGTTCGTAGAGACTTGAAATTTGCTGAGGGTGTTCAGGGTGTCCAATGGGGATCTCACACCAAATTTCAGACCAATCGGTCAGTAACTTTTGATTTTTCAGACAGACAGAGCTTGTCATGCCGCCATGTTGATTACTATTGTCAATAGTATTGAGAATCGAATACCAAGACACTAATATGACTTGCTGAACACCAAGCAAGCTTCTACCATCACTGATCATAAATAATAATAATAACGATTTTGTTAAGTAGCTGTTCTTTAAGAATGTAATACTGTAGCAAAGCAGAATTTTAATATGTTTATAGGTTTTATTATGTCAAGTAATATAGTGTACTGAGTAAGTGCACCTTTAAACTAACAAACTGACACTAATTTTACTTGCAATTGGCCTATAATAACATCTCTCCTTTAACTTGGCTTGTAAACCTGTACTGTTTTCTTAGAGCCCAAATCTTGGGGTGAGTACAATTCAACTCCCTTGGTTACAAGCAAGTTTTCTTTTTATCTAAACCTCACTTTGGACATCTGACATTAGATAGATTTCGAAGTGTAAGGACATTTTATTTAAATATATAGAAAATAACATGTAAAGATAGGGCTGTGTATTGCGGCCCAAAATCGTATTGCAATATATTGCGATACCCGAAAAAAAGTATTGCAATATATTGCAATACTTTCAATAAAAGCATAATTTATTATAACATACGTTTTATTTTGAAGAGTTTTATTGTCCATATAATAATGAATAATATACATGTAGATACGGACGGAAGTGTTTGTAATATTTAAATATTTCAAAGATGTTCACTTTACTGGGAGGGGAACATATTTGAACCTTTTCAAGCTTATTATAATAGTTTAATATATTGTTATTTTGTCTTTGATAAAAACAGTTAAATAAATGACTTCAGTTAACAGGAACCAATTTTGTACTATCTAAATGCCAAAATAGCACATAAAAAACTAACAGAAAAAATAATAATTATTAACTGTTGACTAGTTCACACACAATCCACCTTTTGTTTAGGTAGGCTACCATTACTTTAATGCACATTCTTCTTAAGGAATATTAACATATCAACACAACTTGGTTTCAAACAAGATCTTTGAGAAGAAACAATGTCCCCTGCTGTACTAAATACCCTTTCTGATGGGACTGAAGTTCCTGGGACACAAAGATAAACTTTAGCCAATTTAGATAAATACGGATATTTATTTCTTTGGGCCGACCACCAAGTAAGTGGATTTGTCGTTAAAGATATCCCTATTTCTTCTCTATACTTGGCCATTTCTTGTTCCACAATTTCAATGACAGACATTGGAGAGTGGGGTGGAGCTAAGGTGTTGTATGTATCACCTAAAATGGATATTATTCCAGATTCAGTCTTGGATCTCTTTGGTTGGGTGGCTGTCTCAGGACTATTGACAGAATCATTATCTACCAAAACCAATTCTTTACTTCTGCTAATTTGTGATGAATTTTGGACAACAACATTATTAGAAGCCTCAACTGTAACTTGGGTATAAAGTTCCAGTTTTTCATCATCCTTCAGGAATGGAATAGATTTAAACCTTGGGTCCAGAAGTGAAGCTTTTTGTAAAAACATCCTAACTTCCGGATCCTGATAGCGCTTGCTCAAATCAGTGGTAACAGCAGATTTAAGTTCACAAATACATGCATTATCGTCATCTTTATAAGACATTAATGATAATAATTCAAAATAGATAGGCAAGATCATAGAAGCCGTTGGATGTTTCTCTGAACACATGACTGTAGGGACAGTTTTCATTGGTTTCAAGCAGATTAAAATATCTTCTGCTAATGATATATCAGCATCGATCAGGTTTGACAAATCCCTCTCTTTACCCCTTAAGTCCTTTGATGTTAAGGCGCCGTATACTCCAGCCTGTAATTCTAGGAATCTTTCAATCATATCTGCAGAACTATTCCATCTTGTACAAACATCAATTATGAGTTTCTGATCTGGCAGGTGTTGTGTTTTCAACTTCTCTTTAAGAACTGCACATGCTGTTGTGCTTCGATGGAAATAAGCAACAATTCGCCGAATCTTTGCAAGTAGACAGGAAACTCTTTCAACTAATAATGCCTTCTGAGCTGCCAAGTTAACTGTATGAGCGAAACAGCCAAAATGAACTTTATAATTGCCTTGTGCTGCCATCGTCCCCATATTTCGTGCATTATCTGTGACTAGGCTTGGTTGATCTGATATGTTCCATTCCTTAATAGCGTCACTCAATACAATAGCCAAGTTTTCACCTGTATGACTTTCACAAAGTTTTCTCGTCTGTAGAACATAGTTAGCACGTTCCCAGTCTTCTGTAATAAAAGTTGATGTGATTGTAACATAGGATTCTGTTGAGCGACTGGTCCATGAGTCTGTTGTTAAACCAACATGGGCAGCTTTTTTAACCTTGTCTAAAACAAAACTTTTTGATTTTGTATACAAGTTTGGAATAAGAGTTTCTGAGAAGTAACTTCTTGACGGAATCTTGTATCTTGGCTCCAATTCGTATATTAATTTTCTAAAGCCTTCATTTTCTACAACAACAAAAGGTCACAAATCCTTTATTATGAAGTTTGTAATGGCTTTTGTGATAGCCGTAGCTCTCTTAGACCTGGGTGACAACTGCGTATTTTTTTTAAAGACTTCCAGAATAGTTGGTTGAAGTGACTCTGATGACTCACAATCCCCACCTCCAATATGCATACCCATGTCCTCACTGGTTTCTTTCTTTTCTGAAAATGCCACAGGATGGAAACTGAGAACACTAGGATGATGTTTTATCATGTGTAGTGTTAGGTTTGTTGTATTATTACAGTATTTAACACTTGCATAACATTTTCGGCAAATTGCATAACTTTTATCATGGTCAGTTTCTCGAAAACCAAAATGTCCCCAAATTGTGGACTTTCCTTTGCTGTTAGAAACAATTTTATGTGAATTTCCGGTCGCAGTAGAAGAAAGTGATTCATTAGTCGACAATTTTGATGAACATGGCGATTCACTGCCAGTAGCTTGTATTTGTAATTGAATTTCTCGATTAAACATCATTGCCCTATCATTATTTACGTCTAAAACAGTTTCTGCACGTTTTAGTGATGTTTTGCTGAGTAGAAGTGGTATATCTGCATCAACAACTTCTGTAGTGATGTCACAATTTACACCAACTATGCTAGCCGGAATAGTAACATTCTTCAACGATTTTAGTTGTGAACCATCTCCAAATTTAAACAATTTTACACTGTCTATTGTTTTTACTTTTTTCATTAAATGGGTTGGCAATCAGTTGATGTACTTATCCAGCCATTTGGAACCACATACAGTTCTAGTACAGGCAGTGTCGAGAACAGCACAACCAAGATATTCTGTCATCAGTATTTCATTAATAGAAGGATTTTTTACAAACAAAGTAATGTTACATTATATTCCATATATGCCCTTCGGGCATCTCGGATTTATATTGCATATTTCTCATTGTTCTTTCAAACCATGCACAATCGCTCAAACTTTAAAGGCTAAAAAATAGCTCACCGAATCGGTGTGTATAAACGATCACAACACTTTCAGTATTGTCTTTTTCTCTTTTGATCTAGACCGTGCACATTCGTGTGTTCGTGATAACGCTGTTATCATGTTCTTAAATTTTCTTTCCATTGTGTTCAATGTGTGTTGATCATTTATGTTTTATCATGGACCTGTATTTTTAGGTCCATTTATATTATCTACCTTCGTTTTCATCGACAGGTATGAGGTAGAATCGCTGATTCACCGGGTTTTTTTGTTTGTTTTTAGTTGCGGTCATCACAAAGTGTTGACTTTATTTCACTCTTTTTATGGAGGAAAGCGATTTTTAGGGATTCTGCGAGGCAGATCTTTTAAATGGTCATAATGGAACCACAAACTTGCTAGATTTAATGTCGTAATTATTATACGGCTTTTTTAGACAAGAGATTATAATATATTCCCCATGAGTGGGACAATCGAGAATAAACCGGATGTTTACAACAGCAGTCCGATGATGGAGGTATACTTCCGATTCCGAACTCGATAATAACATTTTTAACATACCCATAGGTAAAAACGAGCGTAATAACGGAAATTTTCCGCTAAAAGGTCTGTAAAGGCCTTTAAATCTCATAAACGAGAATTGAACGCCAATAATATAGTTGGTTTGTAACTTTATCCAATTCAATTGTGTTGAGTTGACAGAATTTGATTGATATATGATCATGTTCATAATGAATAAAAAAAATTAATGATGATAATGATGATCGTAATGTTAACATTATATTACCGGTACTGATTATTAACATAATATTAAAAATAATAAAGAGGGTTACCCTTATATTAGTAGTAATAATAAGTATATAAGTAGATCAAATAAAAAGGTTGTTATTAATAAGCCTGCAACAAATAATGTCGTTACGACAAAATGAGCCGTTACGGCCCCTGCTATAGTATAGGCTTGAATCATAGTGAAAGTAATATTAATTTCCATTATTACCGGTACTGATTATTAACATAATATTAACAATAATAAGGAGGGTTACCCTTATACTATTAGTAATAATAAGTATATAAGTAGATCTAATAAAAAGGTTGTTATTAAGAAGCCTGCAACAAAAAATGTTGTTACAACAAAATGAGCCGTTACGGCCCCTGCTATAGGCTTGAATCATATTCATAGTGCAAGTAATATTATTTTGCATTATTACCAGTACTGATTATTAACATAAAATTAACAATAGTAAAGAGGGTTACCCTTATACTAGTAGTAATAATAAGTATATAAGTAGATCTAATAAAAAGGTTGTTATTAATAAGCCTGCAACAAATAATGTCGTTACGACAAAATGAGCCGTTACGGCCACTGCTATAGGCTTAAATCATAATGCAAGTAATATTTTCAGGTGGTGGCATTTTAGTAGATAAAAATGAATTTGAGTTTCTTCAAAACCAGGTTTCCTTGATGTCCAATCTTCACTGATTTAATATAACAATCCATCTTAAAATCAAAGTCTTGATGGTAATTGATGTTCATCAGTCTGTTAGGTCGGCTAATAGACCTGCATCACATGGTTTTGAAGATGCGGTATCAGTACATCATGAAGATAAAAAGTATACAATAACATTTTAAGTACCGGTAACTAATTATGGATCAGGTTTAGATATCATGGATCCTCAAAGTTTGTATGATGAATTCATGGAGTAAACATAAGAAACTAAGTTTGACATCCCCAAAATCTTTTAGGGTGATGATGTCTTTAATGATTCTGTGATCAACCAAGATACCAATAAAAAGGGTTGAGAAAGAGTAATTGACATTCTACTATCCTCTATCAGTTAAATGCAAGAGATTGTTGCCACCTTTGTTGGACCAGGATATTTGTCATGCCCTGCCCTAAGCGGCTCAGGATTGTTATCTTCAGGAGGTTCTAAAACTGTTATGTCTGGGTTTATGCCCTCTGATACCTCTTTTAAATAAAAATATTGACCCTGAGGTAGTCCTCTATTGTAGATTCTATCATAACCTTAGGTAAGGCCCATTTAGAGTTGTCTCTGAAGCAGAGATTATTTCTTGGGAAATATCGCAGCAAAAGGTAGCACCCAATATATTGAACAACAAGGCCTGTTGTTGACACTTTGTCCGGCTGGATTGTTCAGGCAGGCCCTTCAAGGGCTGTCATCTCCAACTGGAGCAGGGCGAGAGGCAGATTACCTCGCCAAAACTACCACTAGACATTGGAAAGTAATAAATATTTTATGCTGGACAAATTTATATATTACTGGGCCACTATTACCTCAGATCAGTGAATATCGTTAGTGGTTATAAGATTGACTTTATTTCAACTCATTTATTCAGAAGGCTATTCCAAATAGCCTGCTTTTTAATCATAAACAGATGTCTTTAATGGATGAGGAAGTCATTTAAATGATATTTAAGAAAGCCATCGATTCTGTATCATCAGCATACAGTTATATTATTATTATTATTATTAAAAAAAAAAAAAACTGTTTAAGCAGGAAACACTGGCAATTGCCCTAAGGCTATTAAACGGAACGATTTTTTAACATCCATTGATATTAAAGAGACTTATTTTTCAATTCCTGTTTGTCTTGATCATCGAATATATCTACGTTTCAAATGGCGAGATCAAGTTTATGTGTTTACATGTTTACTTTTTGGTCTTTCTTCGGTTACAACATACATGTATCTTTACAAAAATTCTCAAACCTTTGTTTGCTTGGCTCAGGAAACAGAACATTATATGTACATACTTTATAGATGATTCTTTATCTGCTATGTACAGGCTTTTTTAGTTTTGGCTTCATAATTAATACAGAAAGTATTTTAGGCTTCATAATTAATACAGGAAGTTATCAAGCTTGTTGACATATGAGAGAGTTTCTAAAATAAATAATAGCTGAGGAAATTTTGTTTAGTTCAAATTTATTAATTCATATGCGCCATCATTTATTGGTCAGTGTTTTCCTTTAGTAGAACTGCTATTATACTTGCATTATATTTATCCATTATTTAGACAAACAGAAAAATATATTTCTGTCACACTGTATCTTCAGCTATGATAATGATATCATTCATATTCAGGCAATGTTTTTGGAAATAGAATGGTGGATATCTAAGGTTTATATATAATGGGTTTTATATTCATCCACCTAGTATACATGTATAAATGGTTCATAACATCAGATGCTTTCCCATATGGATGGGGTGCCCACAGGGTAAATTCCAAAGCAAGGGCCGTTGAAATCTTTAATAGCAAGGAAACTATATAAATTATTTAGGAGTTTGAGTAATATTCAATGTTCTGTCTTTCTGTCTGTGGTCATATTTGTTTTTTATACACATTTGTATCCAGGCTGATAATACTTTTGTATTACTTATATAAATAATCAGGGTGGTTATATTGGTAATCTTTTTGAATTGTCTAAAGAAGTTTGGCTGTGGTCTTTGAAAAAAGGAATCTTTTGTCAGCCAAACATGTTGTTGGTAAATCTAATGTAGTGATGGACATTTTGTCTAGAATATTTCTAGTTCAACGGAATTAAGCTAAACGAGTATATCTTTACAAAGATTTGTAATCATTTTTTCATACATGATGTTGATCTGTTTGCTTCCAGACTTAATAGACATTTAGAAAAATGTTTCTTGACATCCAGACCTTTTTTTCTAGCATGCAATGCTTTTTCTATATATGTATCAATGGTTCTGGAAAAGGTATTTCAATACAGTAGATCAAGCAGCCATAATCATTCCAGGCTGGTCAACTCCTGTATGGTATCCAATTTTACTATCAATGCTCACAGCCGACCCAGTTCGGTTACCGGTTCGCAAGAACCTTTTTACGTTTAAGCCACAATGGTGCTTTACATTCTCTTAGGGGGAAGAATCTATATCTAACAGGATGCAGGATACCTGGCAATCCTTCTATAATAGAGCAATATCAAAGCAATCTGCTAATATCATCCTTAATTCTTGGCGGCCATCTACTACAAACAGTATGCATTGGCATAGCTGGAGAAGATGAAATTTTTGGTGTTGTGGACAACAAATTAATTCATTTCATCCATCTGTAGTTTTATAAATTTCTTAGGAGATATGTCTAACAATTTCCTTATAGGGTAAAAAACATTATTTGATTCTCTGTAACTCCATAAATATCTGTTTACTTGGAATGCTTCAATATTAGTAAATTATTTGGGTACGCTGTATCCATTGCAAAATTTATCTTTGAGAATACTGACATATAAAACCAGTTGGTTTGTTGGCTTTAGCTACAGCTTAGAGATGTCAAATTTTAACAGACTTTTGCCTTAATGCTTTATATGATTCAGGCTCTGTTATAACCTTGAGAGTAAATAAGGTTTCGAAAACTTCTCAACCTTTAACACCGTTATTCAGGGTTAAAATTCCAAGTTTTTAAGATGCCAGGATCTGTCCTTGTTTTACTTCGAGACAGTTTATCCGTACAACAGCAGAATACCGTAAATCCAGTCAAGGATTTGTTTTCCTTTTATACGAAGAAGGCTGTAGCTCCAGGAACTTCTGCTAGGTGTTTAAGAGAAATATTAAAGTTAGCTGGTATTGATACTTCTATTTTTAAAGCCCACTCAATTAGAGGGGCATCAACTTCTTCGACATTTAATGGTGGTTGTTCACATTCAGACATTTTGTAGGCTGCAAACAGGAAATATGGATATATATTTGCCAGGTTTTACCACCAGTATGTGCGAAATTTGTTTATTTTGTATGCTGGCTGCGGAATAAATAATAAATGAGCTACTAATTTGTTTTAGTTGTTATTTCCTTTGTTGACAACCCTTTAAACTATGCAATATAAATCCGAGATGCCCGAAGGGCATATATGGAATATAATCCCCCTCTCATCCTAGCGCCCGAAGGGCGTGATGGATGAGAAGGATTATATGAATATATAGCCTGAGGGCTCGAGGATTTATCTTCCCTCCCTTGAGCCCTCCCTGTGCTATATTCGGCTGTCAACAAATCTTTAAAAAGACAATACTGAAAGTGTTGTGATCGTTTATATAGAAAGAACAATGAGAAATATGCAATATAAATCCTCGAGCCCTCGGGCTATATATTCATATAATCCTTCTCATCCATCACGCCCTTCGGGCGCTAGGATGAGAGGGGGATTGTTCTTCATCCAAATTAAATTCCTCTTCTGTGTATTTAACAGTGTTTAATTTGTCAGGACAATCTTTTGCCCAGTGAAAAATACTTTGACATATCGAGTTTAAATGAGAGAACAGGATTTGGTAATTCCATCTGGTATTTAACACATTTTGAATATCTCTGTTCAAATTCCACTATAAATTCCGACATAGATATATTTATTGGCTTTCTATAAGAATCAAAATTTGAATAAGCATCGTATGCAAGGTCGACTTTATCTGTCAGAAATAAAGAATCAAGTTCTGTAATCAATATGTTCATTCCGTCAGCAGTATTCAGTCGGTCAACATTTATTGTTCTAGCCTTCTCCAGAGCTTGGCCCTGCAGCGTTAATGAAACCGCTAACGCTTGTTTTTTGGGGGTCGAGATCCGTTACCAGCCTCCACATCTCAATTTCTGTCTTCCAGGACTCGTATCCTATGGTAGGATTGAGAACTGGTGGAACTTTGTAACTTGCAGTACTATTTCCGTGAGCCGCCATTTTGGATACTATAACTTGAAGTTGAATTTAATCATTTCACAGAGTGTATTCCGTTACTTCGCAGCAAGGAAATAAACAATATTTTCCGACTGCGATAAAGAAATGTTTGTTTCAGGGACATACATAACATTTTTAGCACGACCAAGGGACATAACTCTTATTCTCACTAAAAGTTAACTGCCTTGATTATGGAAGGCGGGTAGATTTTGAGCTATTTATAACATTATTTCCAAATGGTTATATCCTTAAAAATCAAATGTGGTCAGACTTCCATTGTTGATGAATGAAGTTTTTATGGTAAGTTTAATCATATAATGTTTAAATAATCCCGAAACAGTGTCTGTTTGTTGTAAAACATTCTGAGCATGAACCACTCTATTACAGGCTTGTTGTGTTGTCAGGTTAAGAAAAGGGCGAGATTTTACATGGCCACTATCACTCAGCCTATATATAATTACACCAAAGCTGTGTGAACTGAATTAATTTTAAGTTGGTAAAATTACTACATTTGTGATATACTTGCAATTTTGATAAAGTAAACTACACTTCCCTGCCCATTATTACTGCAGATTCTGTTCATCTAACCATAACCGAAGTTCACTGCCCAATGCCCATGCAATGCAGATAATGTCATTTTGATAGATAGCCTAATTCAAATCTACAATTCAAATATTTGAAAACAAAATTCTTAATTCATTATATATCTGCTTTATTATTACTACTTACAAGTCTTCGACCATCTTTTTCTGGTGTAAAGAAATAACACAGTTTAACAACCAGGCTGTGAAGGATTCCATTACTAATATTTTGGTTCTTCTTCAAACATACTAACTGGGCATCAAATTCTAGACGACATCTCTGAATCTATAAATATTTAAATCATTTTTTCAGTATTCAGGAATAAATCAAAATGAAATGAAAATGAAATAGGGTTTTCCATCCTACTTTTCTACATCAAAAAGAAATAACATATAACGCTTCTTAGCCGATATTTACAGAAAGCTTTAAATAATAGTGGTACAGCAACTTAAACAGAACTGTATCCTCTTGAATTATTTCATGGAATCAAAGAGCACCTCTATATAATCCACCCTATTAAAATCTAATTCACTAATGCTCTAATTCCTTGGAATTCATAAACAAACAGATGTTACCTTTTATTAATTCATTGCAGGATAATTTAGTTTTACATGAAAAATACAAATACTGTTCATACAGTCATTCGTCTTGGGTTTTTCCAATTTATATTCCACATCCAACTAGATTATGTGCAGGGTTGACATATTATCTGCTATAGAGCATATTGGTTATCAATCTAAAATTAATTCCAGTCAATATTGCTGTTAAATGCAATATGCTGATAATATTGTTCATCATTGAACTCAGTCATGACATTCACCTAATGAACATATACGTCAAGTTTAAACATTCTACCTCAGTTAAAAGCAGAGTTGTTATGTTCTAACAATCAAATTACTTATCGCTACTTGGCCTAAGCAGAAAATTCTCATCATCGTACTTAGTCAAGGTATTAATATAATGAATGTATACATGTGAGTTTCATCACTCTCACCCAATTAGAACCAAAGTTATCGAGTTCCTAAGTCTCAACCAATCAAACTGCTTATCTCTGCTTAGAATTAGTGGAAAATGTGCATGATCGTATTCACCTAATAGACACACTACACCAAGTTTGAACATTCTACCTCAATTATTCTGACATTACAATCCTTTAAGCCCCCTTAACATTCAGTTCATTCGAGTAGCTTGGAACAGTAGTCAGTTAATTATAGTTTATTACCATCATAATATATATATGGCCACAGATCACTAATGATTTCCCCATTGACTTTAATGTTAATTCTCGTCTCTTAGATCGGCTCTAACTTTTTCCCAAATTTTCGTTGGGTAGAACGCTTTCTACCACAGATGGAGCAACATGTAGCAACCTCTTGCCCAAAAGCATGTATGAGGTTCACCATGGAAAACTTTAGATACACAAGCTGGAAGTAGAGACAAGTAAACATGCAATTTTTGACCCTACATTTCAACCTAACCAACATCTCAACTCTTGTATCCTTCCGCCTCAACATCATGAATATTCACCAAAACCTGTCAGAAAATATATTTTCAAACCCTTTTCTTCGGTTCTACACCAAAAAGACAACAAAAATTGCCATGGAAAAAGGAAAAGGGAGAGAAAGACTAAAAATAACTTTCGCCCTACATTCGTGGGTGACGGTGTAGAAATATTTGGTGAGCCTTTTTTATATACTTCCCATATGTTCTGGCAACATACCGGTGAAAGGAAATCAAAATCAAAGAATAACTGCAAACTGAGAAGTAGTAAAGGTGAGATTTGTACGTTTACAGTATAGATTTCGCGCTTTTTAGTAAATTTGTACCAATATCGGTAAAATTCTAATTATCACAACAAATCTAATACGAAGAGGGTAAAATCTGTAGGTACGGTGTGTTAATTAACAGGAGTGAGAAATTGACTGAAAGGTGATATAATTATCGCTAGGGGTGAAAATCTCGGCGACGGTGCGTTTTCTGTACTGGTGTGTTAATTAAAGGAGTACTCCATCATTCATGGAAATATTTATTAAAGCAAGTATTTAATTCATACAAATAAGCCCCGCAATTCCCGTCAAGAAACTGTTTTTATTTTTTTTTTAATTGGCATTATAAAACAATTTGTAAGAGCCATGGCGCCGCCATATCGCCAAATAGAACTCTTCTTTTGAAAACCAGGAATATCACCCGATGGAATTATGAAATCACTCGCGAACAAAGTAAAGCCGTATCCAGCATTGTTTGTAATGGCTGCTCGGAACTCCGCTATGATAGCACCTTACCAATTCGAGCCAGAATAAACTCCGGGTGAAATGTGAACGGATTCGGATACCAATACATCGGAGGACGAAGTTATTGATAATAATACTCGAGTAGGAAATACAGACTGGTGTCTGTGCACTTATTGTTCTTCGATGCCATTGTCAGATGAATGTGTGTGCTTCGATGCCATTGTCAGACGAATGTGTCTGCTGCAAGGAAACCAACGCTATTTCTCACCGACTCGCCCATACAACCTTGTGTGTAATAGAAAATGAGGATTTTCGTACAGTTTCGGCTATTGCTAGGGCTGATGTGCGAGGAGACAAAGCCCAGCCGATTTCAAATGAGTAAGTTTTAACTTTCAGTTTATAGTTACCGAGTTACAGTTCGGCGACATTTTCTCACATTACTATAAATAGATAATTTGGCTGCTGTTCTATCATTTCATTGGACAATATGTACGGGAAACACTCTTTAGCCAATCAAACAAGATGTTATAAATAAACAAATTGGAAGTAGATCAGCTTGGAAACCAGTGGTTGGTTGTTTTTCTTTTGTAAATAAATATGATTCATCTACAACAAACTCTCATAAAGGTACGTTATTGCATACAAACGAGATTATCAGAACAATACTAATGAAATACAAACAAAATGTGTTGGTAGACCTCATTTGACACAAGTGACACCAAATGAGGTGTGAAAAAAAACCAATTTACATTACAATACAAGTTATTTTGGTAAAAGGAAAAAGTATATACATGTTATTATACAGAATACTAAAAATGTATTAAAGTTGTATCTTCAATTCAAACTTATTCATACATATATGTATGTACATAACTACATAAGTGCATATTATAGATCTGATTACACAATGCAGAGCAGATAACAAAGATATCTTTCCTTTTCAAATAGTATTATTACCCTAGTTTTATTACCCTTTTTTTCTTTCAGCGTTTTAAGACACCAAGCCTACAGACAGTTCATATATTGGATACATCAAAGATTGGGAAGACACATCAGAAAAGTAATACCATCCTGTGTTGTTGCTAAAATAAGGACAATATTCCCATCTTCAACTGGTCATTATACTGGTTTTAAGTGGGCAGAATAAATTTCTAAAATTCACTATGTTACTACCATTTAAAAATAAAGTTTTTAGATAGCTGCCTTTATTGAAGATAACCGAGACTTGTTTTTTTTATCTTGTGAATATAGTGCTTGGCAATCAAGACTACACTATTTCTTGTCATAACAGCGCCCAGAATGCAGTAATTAGACAAATTTTCAATATATTCATTTTTAAACCATTATAGCCGAGAATGGCCAACTCTTTATCTAAATCTTACATAATGCATCTTAATAAAAAAAATGTCACATTTATGTCACTTACAAGTGGAGAATCCAAAGCACACCATTTGACTCAATAACAGACCTTATGATTTCATAATACAAATTAAATAGAATCATTAAATTACTTATAATAAACTTATATGTTCAACCACAAATAATCAACAAATAAACTTCATCTTTTATATAAACAAGAATGTCAGTATTTTGTGAACTATTCACAAAATAATTCTGATACGGCTGGTGACTCGTCTAAAATGGATTTAGACATGTGCGATCTGTGTTTCCTAACAGTTTCATCCTTAGGCGGCTTAGGCACAGAAGCAATGTTTTCTGGCACAACTGGTAAATTAAATATTGGTAATACAATTCCAGCAGTTCTCACCTCAACAGTTCTAGCCATCAAATCTCTCTTAAAATCATAGGTCTTTTTTTTCAAAGATAGGCTTTGCCACCCAGACAGATGTTCGTTTTGGGAACACTTGATTGTATTTGTAAGTGCCTTCATTGGGTCCGCTGGATGCTATTGCTTGATCCCTGCCAACTCCATTGTTATGGTCAAGAGCAGTAAGCTGGGTCTGAGCAACCATACCTTCAAATGAAAAGTGCTGTCGTTTTGGACAATATTTTAGCATCATCGAATGATAAACTTCAAGGTCTCCAGTGTGACATGCTAATGTAAGTTTTTCTAAAACTTTCAAAAATGATTTATCCAAAACAATGTCTTGTAATACTTGGAATGCTGCAGACCCAGGTTTTAACCACATTTTTTGGGCTTCTTCATGTTTTGAAAGTTTTGGGTGTTCACACTGATGAAACTGTGTTTTAGAACAGAAATCCATTTTCCTTTCAAAAGAATGATATTACCGTCACATGTTGTGACACACCACCAAAAATGATTTCGGATCGACTGAATCCACGATTTTAAGGGCTCATTTTGTTTGGACTTGGCTTTCTCAGATAATTTTTTTATTAATGATTTTGATACATGCCAGACATCATACTGATGGATAATAGTCGGATAATCCTTTCATAACATGCATCCGACCTGTATGTGCCTGTCTGTTGCCAATACATTAATATTCAAGCGTCCGTCCAGTGTTGTCAAACATTGCCTTAGACCTTCTTTCTCCATGTTTGTGGATTTCAGTTCAACTTGCCCAACATGTACAACACTGAAATTAATTAACTTTCCACTGCCACTATCAAGCAGGGAATAAGTGGAATATTTTGCACTGAATCCTGGACTGTCACATCTTCCATCCCCAGATACACACAGTACTCTGCCAACTAATTCATTCTCAACAGATAATCTTTCTTTTGTCCAAGCCTAGTTAATTATAGTAAATAAATCTGTTTGTATTTTATAATACGTCGAATGTCAAAAAAATTCTAGATTTAATAAATCGGCAAACTCTTCCATTTTAGCATAAGAGCACCCAGCATAGAGTAAAGCTGCAGCAATCAGTAAATTTCCAGCAGGCATTTTCCGGATGTATGGTTGTGAGTTCCAAGTACAACTATGTCCAAAAACACAAACACTTTTTACCTTTATTTAATGTTGTATTAATAATGTTACTTCCACAAATTTGGCAAAATTTAAAAAGCTTACATAAAGAACTTTCAAAAACAATATATTTGCTATCTACATTTGGTTCTACTGTATTTAAT